CAGTTTACAGTTTAGTTTGTATTTATAATTCCTTTTGCTGTTTTTTGGGAGATGTTTAAGCTCAGTTAGTATGGAATTTAGTCCTGTTAGTGCTTCTAAGCTTAGTTATATTTCTGATCCATGACAGGTTGGTGGGTCCTGGAAGACAACTGCTGATCCCTGTTAAAGTGGTCGACGTGTGAAGTGCAACTGGCTTGTGGCATAGCTGGCTCTGGTCTTGGACTTTTATTCTGTACTCAAGTGGGACACTGGACTGTTTTATCCTTTATTTTTGGATCATTGTATTGCATTACATTGCATTTATGTAACTGCTCGTTTAATCATGGCTTGTTTTTGTTGTGTTCAGTGGTTGTAGAAATGGCTTATATGAGATTTTAGCTGCTCACACCAAAGGTGGGTTGATGAGTAATAAACTGTAACAATATCTTGTAGCTTGGAACAGAAAAATCTCATCTTTGTTCTCTGTCTTGCTGCCTCCTCCTGTTGGTTTGTGTGTTAGTGAGCGGCAGGATTCTCCAGTCCAGTGAGCACAGCTCCATCAGCTGGTGGAGTTCAGTCAACACACCTGCTCTCAACAACCAGCAGTGTGCTCAAACATCGGTTTCTCCTCCATCCTACACGATGTTTTACACTCCAGAAGCAGTAAATCAGGATTACATCACCTCTCTGTAGAAGGAAACTCTCCAAGTGTCCTTACTTTGGATTCTTGTCTCCTTCTCAGTTCCTTCCTGGTGTGTGTGCTGGACTGGATCCTCTGGCTCGGTGCCATCCTTTACTTATAATAAAAATCATTGAAACTTTTGTCGCTTGTCTGAGTCTGCATTTAAATCCATGTGTTCTGGTTCCCAGTGTCAAAGATGTGAGCCACAACCACAAACCAAACTAAATTTAGTCCATAAAGGCAACAATTGCAAAGAGAATGGGTATGAAAAATCTAAAGTAAAACAAAAGCCTGAATGTTTGTCAAAAAAGATGGAAAATTGTATGAAGTTCTCTTTGGGTGGGTGACTATAACCGGATGAATGGAGGAATAGATCCACCCAGAGGGAGCAGAGAGGCTTTTCCTAGATTGAACTAACTGTAAGAACCTCAAGTTCCTTCACTTGCCAAGAAGCTAAACCCAAGACAAGCCAGGTGGGCTCATCTTTAATATATTTAATTTCACATGTCCTATTGACCATGCTGTAAGAACACAAAACCTGATGCACTCTCTCACCTATGAGTCAGATTCTTCCACTGAACCTTTGACCACGGTTCTTCCAGCCTCCTGCTTTGTGGAAGTCGTTACCTGGAAGAATGAGGAGAAGGTCAGGCAGGCTCTGCGGTGTCTGTCAGGAAGAATGCAAAACTTTCATTTAGTGTTCAGTGTGAGTGCGCGACATCATCACGAAGCTTCAAATGTTCATTCATTCATGACAGTCATAGCTCTGTTCTCTGAGTGTCTGCTTCTGTGATCTATGCAGCCTGATGTCAAAAAGTGTGTGAGCACCACTGTTATGGTGGAGTTTGCCCCGTTTGTCTGTTAAACCTCGATGAGTTTCTACTGTTGAAGGCATTTTTATTTTCTAAACTGGCAGCACACCAACATCTGCTGCTTTGATGGACTTACAGTAAACCATTAAAACTGAGGTTAAAGCACACCCACACAGTATTTTTCTCGTGATGATGTTGGGATTTCAGAGAAACAAAACTGAAAGTGAGAGTCAAAGGAGCTTGCAAAGAAAAGCGTCTGGACTTCTTTAAGTTACTTGAAGACGTTTCACCTTCATCCGAGAAGCTTCTTCAGTTCTAAGGTCAAATGGTGGAGAGTCCCAGATATAAACCTAGTGGGAGTTTCCCCCCACAGAGGGACAAAAGGACCCCCTGATGATCCTCTAATCGCCTGAGCCAAGGTGTGAAAATGGGTGTGGGTCCCAATCAGAGTTCATTGTGAAACCTGGCCCCACTTAAGGATCATCAGGGGGTCCTTTTGTCCCTCTGTGGGGGGACACTCCCACAAGGTTTATATCTGGGACTCTCCACCATTTGACCTCAGAACTGAAGAAGCTTCTCGGATGAGAGGTGAAACGTCTTCAAGCAACGTCCAGACGCTTTTCTTTGCAAGCTCCTTTGACTACGATGACCTGGATGACTGAGAACCTTCACAGACATGAAAGTGAGAGTATTGTACATTATTGTTTCCTGGTTCAGGTGATGATTCTCACTGAGGGCTAATTTTTGAATGCTTAAATGATTCAAAGTTTAATGCTGAGTGGCTTAAAAAATTAATCTGAAAATGGAAAAAGGACTGGATTGAGAATGAGTGAAAAAGCAGCAAATGACCCAAAAAATAAAAACGATTGAAAGACCTTCAGAAAGCCTGATGAACTATTACTCAAGACCACTTAAAAATTTACAAGAATGGCTGGTTGGCAAATATATATATAAAGAAATGAGGAGCAGGTCAAGACTTTTGCACAACACTGTCCTCATATCGACTGGTCGAAGGTTTCCAGCTGGTGCTACAGAACATTTACAGAACCAGATACATCACCACACAGAGCATCTTTACTTCCTGTCGGCTGATGAACCGGAGACCATGGAGACCAAGTACAGCAACGTGTCCCTGGCGTCATTCATTAATCCTCCTCAGCTGCTGATTCTTCTTTGTAGTATAAAAGGATGTCAAGAGATTTATTCTAAAGACACTTCTTCAGCTGAGAGTCAGAGAGTAGAAACACACACGCTGCAGTTTTTACTTGCAAGGGCGGTCACAGAGCGCTCACAGCAGAGTGGGGGCCCTGTGATGTGCGCTCTGTTCTTGCACTTGTCTTTATTTATATACAAAAATAATACAACAGTGAATACGTCTATTCATAAACAGAGGAATTTTAGTGCGTATGTAGGTGTATGTGTGTGATTCTGAAGGACGCGGCCCCTCTTCTTGTTAGGGAGCGCAGATAAAAGTGTCCAGCTCTCCTCCTCCTGGTAGGGAGTGAAACTGCTCGTTCAGCTCTTATCGCTGTGAGAAAGAATTTATAAAACAGTCTAAGTCATAAAAAGGTCATCATGCAGTCATTAAACGCTTATACTGACTACTAAGTATAATTTTCCATTGACAAAGGACAAATTTCTTTACTGTTTCATTTACTTCAATTAAGCACAGGCAGCTGTTCCCTTTAATCTCTTCAGCAGTTGAAGTGTTACAGAGCGCTGAGATAAACTAAAGTTTCAGCTTCACTAAATTAAATCTGTGTAACGCTGATCATTTGGACAGAATAAGAGAAGGTGATGAATCAAAGATGACTTTTTGAACCCGAAAAAGGCCTGGACCTCATCTCCAAAACTTTAATGTAGTGTTAATGTTAGTGCACTTCACTGTGTGCACACAGTATGCTGCTCTCATTTTGTTTTAAAATATTAATTCATGAGCTGCAGCTCGTTTGCTTAACTGACAGTCGTAGCTCTCAATTCTGCTGGTCATTCAGTCAAACTGCTTATGTGATCTATACAGAACTACAACACTACAAAGAGTGTGTGAGCATCACTGTCATTCTGTTTAAACTCGCTGATGGCAGCTTAAAAGTAACATTTAAACTCATTGTGGTTCACCCAGAACATTACAGTGGTGTTTTGCAGAGTATACACTAATACTGACTCACCCCAGCTCTAAAGTAGACCTTATGAAGGCAATATAACACTTTTCAGTTAGCCCACAAAGCACTTAAGAATGTCCAGAGTGTTCCTGCAATGACGACAGTGATTTCAGAGAAACGAAACTGAAATTCGGAGTGTTGTACATTAAGGTTTCCTGGTTTGAGTGCTGAGAGCTTATAAACATGTAATGTCTGTTTTTTTTAGTTTTTTACTGAAATAAAGTCCTACATAGTAGATACGCCTTCAGTGGTTAGCAGAAGTGATCACATAAAACACACAGCGCTGTTTGGAAAGCTGTGAGAGTTGGAAAAAAACCAGGAAGGAGGGGAGGAGTTAGGCTGACCACATGATCAGGAATCCTCATAAATTCTGTCAGACCTCCCAAAACTGCCCTTTTTGATCAGCGCATCAGCTCTGCTGCCTCGAAGGTAAGTTTCTTTGTTTCTTTGAATCTTTTCTTTGAATTATAATCCAGTCACAAGAAGGAATGATCTGACTTATTCCTTCTTGTGATTATAATTACTAGAGAAAGGGTTAAAGATACAAATAAGAGTTTGTGGGGCAGCTCAGACACTGAGATGAAAAAAAAAAACATGGCTGCATCAGCACAAAACACTCAGGTTTAAAGCTATTAGACAAAAAGAAGCCAAACTATTAATGTAAATGTGTTCGTTTTTCATACATCTTTAAATCTCTCTATATGTCTCTATGGATACAGAGCTGTCTCTCTCTGTCACGATCTCTTGGTGAGTGCAGATCGACAAGATAGTGGTTAACTAAGGGCGTGCTGTTTATTTAGGCAGATTTTCAAAATGTGAACTCTGACAGGAAAAATCCAAAATAACAAAAAACCAAACCGAGAAACACCAAAACTCGGAGAACTAAATAAGTAAACACACAAAAAAAGCTTGAAGGTAACACGGAAACACGAGGAGGGATTCGCTGGAAGAAACACAGACAACTCCCGGGAGGAACACAACACACCGACGAAGACTGAAGAGAAGCTGACGCAATAAATACACGCAAGAGGGTGATCGGGGAAGTGGAAACACATGGGGGAACAGCTGGGACAAATTAAAGGTGACGAGACAGAGCGACGCGAAGTAGAACACATTGAACATGGGACGCAAGACTGTCAAAATAAAACAGGAAACACAGAGGCATGACACAGTAGTAGGCATGAACAGGGAGGCAAAAGATGAAACACGAGGAGAGGAGCAGGGCAAGACAGGTGAGACTAAACACGGTGACACGACTAAGACACAAAG